AATGGATTCTGTGGAGAGAAAGTGCATTCAGGCTTCACCAACATTGAGATATGAATGAATTTGTGTGCTGTAACCTTGCTCATAAATTGAAGACATATTTGTATTATGGTTTTATATAGGTGACTTGTATTTTTACAAATATGCACACAGTACACTATCAATTTGGGGAAGAGGAAGGAGTTGGGTCACTGTTCCCACAAAAGATGTCTCCGTAATGGCTGGCTTGAGGTTTGTCATTAGATGTAAAGCAATTGTAGCTGAATGGTGGAAATAGGTTCTGCCTGAGAGGCATCTACTTATTAAGAGAGGGGAATGCCATGCTCATCTTTGCTCTTTGGAACATCTCAGAGTACTGATTTAGTTACACAGGTGGGAGTCCCTGAATGCCCTGATGCCTTGCCAAAGGATCAGCATCAGTGAAATGGAGATTTTTGTAAGATATTGGCAAAGGGCTCCAACAGGTGCCCCTCTCTAATTTCAGAGAGAGAAGGCACTTTCCTCCATGCTTAAACCGAATCTATGAGACTTTTGAGTAAAAGTCCATAGAGTTCTGGAGCTGGAAAGAATCTCCAGAGGTTATCTGGCCTCCTGCCTGGAGGCAGAGCCTGTAGCTAAAGTGTCTGAGGCAGGTGGGTGTCTGTCCTATTTTTAGACATTTTTGGGGCTGAACCTGTGGTTTCTTTGGGATGGGTAACTCTGAATGAGCAACTCCCTCTACTGAGAAAAATCAACACCTGTTTTGCAGCAGTGTTAAGAGATATGCCTGGGGCCACTGAGAGGTTATTGTGTGTCAGAGACTGGACTTGAACATAGGGCTTCTTAATTCTGAGTATAGGCTCTCTGTTATATTATGCTGTGCCTGCTATTAAACACCATAAGGGATTGATATTTCACCACTTTCCTCAATTGCACATCTCAGAGAGCTCCATCATTTTAGCAAAAAGAATTAGTTCAGGCACATTGGAACATTCAAGAACTTGGGAATCTCTGAATTGAAAGGGGTCTCAAACACCATTTAAGTCCAACTAGAGTCACTACCACATACTCTGTGATTCAGTGACACTGGCCTCCTTTGCTGTTTCTTTTGCACAACATTCTATGTCCTGACTCTAAGCATTTTTACTGGTGTTCCCCCACTCCTCATCTCTGCCTCCTGGCATTCCTGGCTTCCTTCAAATCCAAGCTAAAGTCACTTTCTGCCAGAAATCTTTCCCAGTACCTTTCATCTAAATGCCTTTCCTCTAAGACTACTCCCAGTTTATCTGGTATATAATCTGTTTGTACATAGTTGTTTGCATGTTGTTTTCCCTGTTAGCCTGAACTCCTTGAGAGCAGGAATTGTCCCCTCCCCTTCTTTTTATCCTTCTTTATAGCACAGTGGCTGACATATATTGAGTACTTAAAAAATGCTAGTTGGCTAAGTGGTCTTGTTTGCTTCGAGGTGCATTTAGTGATGCATGAAAACATCCTTTTTCTTGTAAAATTCAACTAATTTAGCAACCTCAGTTAAGAATATGGATTCTTGACGGGAAAGAGAGAACAATTCTATTTTTTTTTCTTTTAAATCCTAGTGATATTTAGTGTAAGATTGAGATGATGTGGTTCTACCTAAGCAAGTTTCATTTACTTGTGGAATTGTTCTTCAGTCCCATTTTCTATTTTATTTCTGCTTCCTCTTGTATATAGATTGCAATGCAGCTAAAAGCCACTGTCATTGAACTGAAGGTAGTTTGGTCCTTGAATTTTTACACCAAAGTAGTATTGAAGGAGCCAGGGGACTTTCTGAGGAGGACGATATTCCTGTCACTGGACTAAAAGATTCGACTGGCAGTGAAAGATCTGAATATAGGTATTCCCATCCGTTCTCCTGAGCTGGGTTTCATTTACCGTATATATTATCTTAAGCTAGAAAAGTTCTGTGATAGAATAAAGAGCAGTTACAGCTATACTGCCTCCTTTGGTTTGGGGCTGTTGAATACATTTTTTTTTCTGATTTACGGACATACACAAATAAGCACATAATTCTTATCTGTTTTCATGCTTTTGGTGTTCACCATACTACAGGTATGTGTGTGTGTCTTCATGTGTTTGTGTACCCACACTTAAGCATGCTTGATTGCCCACAGAGAGGTGCTTGGCAAGCATATCTGTTCCAACAGAGATATTTTTTAGAGTCAAGACACTGAATCATGTTGGATATAATTTTGTAGGTCTGGATTCTATTGTTCAGTTTCATGAATTTTGAATATATCCATCTCTAAAGCTCTGAGATGGAGAGTCAGAACCATTCTAGGGGGTCCTTTCTAGAACTTATCTTTAGAAAACAATTACCAGGTGTTTGAGGGAAAACTGGACTAACAGCATTGTCTTGATGCAGAATAAATGGGTCATTGGTTCCTTACATAATATATTTGTTTTTCATTAGAACATTTTGATATGGTCTTATTAAAGTATCATGTATTATTTATTATTTCTTATGAAAATGAGCTGAAGGGGAAAGTCTGTGTTTTAGGACATCCACAAATGGTATACTTAAGAGTTAGGATGAGTGGGGAGGCTTGACATACTTCCATCAGAACAGGAGATTTCTTGAGGCAAAGGAAAACAATGGGAAAAAAAACAAGAAGGGGCACAAATTTGACCTTTTTGTTTTTTCTCTCACTTTGATAGAATTTTTTTCTATTGTTTTCTTTCTTTTTACTGTAAAAAAAATACTCTCTTTCTAAATCAGAGTTGGTTTAAAAACTCAGGGTTGTTTCAACACTGCAAAAATTCTTTAAGCAAAAAAAAGTGTACGTGTGTATTCGTAAATATATATGTGTGTGTGTGTGTGTGTGTGTGTGTGTGTGTGTGTGTGTATAGGTATTCAAATTCTAGAACATTACCACCATCCCCCATAATTATATCAATCTACTAATCTTCCTTGCTCCTTCCCTCTATACTCCAGGCCTTATTTTAAATTAATCCATATTATTGTTTCTGTAATCAATTGACAGGCTCTGCAAACCAAATTTTTGTTGAACTCTGGCTTTGCAAGGTGAAAAATAAGAACAACTGATAAGATTTAGGGTGGGGAAGTGCTATGATTATGACTTAGAAGCTGTAAATAGCTTTTTAAAAAATCAGAGCTGTGGAATGATTAATTTTCTTTGATTCAGAAAGGATTTTGATTTGCCTGAAATTGAGTTCTGCTTTGTTGAGCTGACTGCTCTGTTAAATAGCAGTTATTTTTGTAAAAAAAAAAAAAAAGTCTGTGATATCACATTAGTGACACCAGCCTTTCCTTCCTTAGGAATTAATTATGCCTTGCCCTAAGTGTTACTTTTTGGTATGAATGTGTCTCTGAAAGTTGGATGCCCTGTTTTGCTGCATTAGGCTTTGATGAAGCTTTGGGGGAGGTTCCTTTCTGGAAACAACAACATCATTAGACTTCTGCTCTGAGATTTAACCTTTCTTTCAGAAAAAAAATAATAATTCAATCATTTTGTCAAAATCCATTAAAAAATACTAGTGTCTCTGGTCATATTTTTTACTACTGTCAAGAAGAATGAGCTTTTCTATGGGACCTCAAGGACAAGTTAGAGTATTAGTTTTTTGATTTGCAGGTCACATCCTATTTTATTGCATAAAGACTAACTAAATCTACTAATGAATAATTATTACTCCATAAAATAAAGGGGGGAAAGTCTGCAAGAGCAGAATACTAATTGAAACAATGAGGTATTGAAATTAAAGGGGAAAAAATCAACAGCAAACCCCCTGAAATGGCCATCATGATTTACCCAAGTAAACTGAGAGGGCAATCTCTTATTACAGACTTACTTTCTTAGCATGTACATTTATAATTTTAAATAAAATAGGGTTCAGAGCAGTTTTAAGCTCCTTGCCTTCATCAATGCAATAATTCATAGCATCTTGATGGTGATTTTATATGCTTTCTCCTGAATACAGAGATAGTGAATGACATGGAGATGTAAAGCTAAAGCTGTTAAAAATGTCCTGTTGTTTATCGCTGTTACTGCTCAGTGCTGGGATCCTGCTGCCTGCCTGAGCTCCAGTCCTTCTCCCTGCCACACTCTGCACTCTGGTTCTTAGAAGGGGAAATTCCATTTTATTTGTCAGGTGTGGTTCCAAAAGGGTAAAAAAAAAATCATAACAGACATCCAGTCCCAGCTGGGCAATAGCATTAATTGCCCAAATCTCCTGAATGCCTGTGATACAGCACTCTCGCTTGCTCCCCCACCTTCCCTGGGGATTTTTAAAATGCACTATTTGAATTTTGGTGAGTGGTAAAGACCCTGCCCTAGGACCCATTTGACAAATGAGAAGCCGTGCAGCATCAGCACCAGTCGACTGAGCCTCAGTGAGTTAATCTCTCTCTCTCTCTCTCTTCCTCTCTCTCTCTTTCTCTCTCTTCTCTCCCTTTCTCCCTCTTTCCTTCTCTCCCTCTCTCCCCCCCTTCCTCTCTCTTCCTCTCTCTCTCCCTTTCTCCTCTCCCTCTCTCTCTCTTCCTCCCTTTCCTCCCCCTTCTCTCTTTCTCTCCCTCTCTTCCTTAGTCAGCAGCTACTGTGGTGTGAGACAAGCCGGCTCTCACTGTCATTGAGGAAGTTCCATTTGCTCATCAATAGGCTGCAGGCTGCTGTTGTGTCTTCCCTTTCCCCCCCCTTAAAGGAGGGTGGGAGGGAGGGTCGGGCTGAGAATTATTTCCAGTTTAAAAAAAAAAAGGGAAAGGGAAACCAAATAACAACAAGGCAAAACAAATATAGTTTTTAAAAAATCTATCAAGTGGCCTTAGCTTAAGACAAATGAACGTAAGGCTATAGCAACTCAAAAAAAAAAAAAAAGGAAAGGGGGGAGGGGGAGAGAGAGATACTGTTTCTTACTAAGATAATCAGCAAAATTTAAAAAAAAAATCCACTCAAACTGTACCGACAAGACAGGAGAAACGTGCTTGCATGCAAGCCTCTTCACTTGTTCTACGTAGACTTCAGAGAAGCACCATGCAGCATCCCCTCACGGGTGCAACCTGCGTAGCTCTCCCCAATGTGGGCATGTGTCCCCAGCTCTCCTGTGCCTTGACTTTTATGTACTTACAGCAGGTAAGTCGCGTTTCTTTTCTCAGCACCTTGCCTTGTTCCTGCATGGACAGCATACCTATGCCCCAGACCGGGGAAGATTCTCTGCTTTTAAAGCCCATCTCTCTGTAGGACGAGGGTATATAAACGAACTGCTTAGTGTTTGTGATGTTCGATTTTGCATTGGGGGAGTGGGGTGGAGGGGGGAAGGGGACAAAGAAGAGGGGTGTGTTGGGGGAAGGAGAATAGAAGAGGGGGGAAAGATCTCTTTTTAGTAGCATATCTCTTGCATCAGAAATCCCTTTTATTTTATGAAATCTTCACCAAAAGCTGTTTGCACATATGCTTAATACTTTGATTGCATTACTCATAGATACAGTACTAGAGTTCCAGCCATAAAAATGGTGTGCTTTCTTCACTTGCAAGCATAAAATGCACTTCTAATGTAAATGTGCCCAGTGGCAATTTCATTTTAAGACCCCTTTGAAGCCAGGAATTTTAAGTCTTTGTTGAGGCGCTCTGCTGACTACAATTTCAATCAGACTGATTTTAATTAGGAAAAAAAATGTTTTTAAGTTTGCCTATGTTTTCAAACCGGCAGACTGCACGCAGAGGATCACAGCATTTGAATTGTAGACCTATGTCAGCCTAGAAATTTGCTTCAAAAATCAAGGAACAATGCCTTGTTCTAGTCATGCTTAATGATGGGTTTTTTTTTTGTTTGTTTGTTTGTTTTTTAGTTGTTGTTTGATTTTTTTTTTTGTATTCGTTGGCACATGCATCGGTAGGAATCCCCCCTCCCTCCCTCTTTCTCTCTTTTTATGGTCTCGCCGAGGAATTTTTTTTTTCTTTCCCCTTTGCAGTCTTCGTGCATTTCACTGTTTTCTTGCTATCTGTCTCGCAGAGTATTATTAGATCTCTGAACTAGGGTTGGTTAGGTGGGTTTGGAATCCTGACTATAGTATGGGGTAGTGCCCCCCCTTTAAATTAGTGATTCATCACTATAGGCAGGGGACAGTACCTCTGTAATTCAAAGATTAGAAATAGGTTTTCATGCAAATGGGAATTGTTTTAGCTTGATAATCCTGCCCCTACTATTTGGAGAGTTTAAAATCATTTCTAGTCATTTCATGGGCTCCTGATAACTCACCTGAAGTATACCTTTTATTTGGCATTTAGGGCTGATACTCAAACTTGAATTGGTGGAGTTGAGATTATTCCTGCTCCAAAGATCTAGAAATGATATACATATATGCAGATTTCTATTTTGAAATTGTATGTAATTTGATATCAAGTTTATCTCCTAAAGAAAGTAGCACTTAGGGTTATTCTGTGTGGAAAGCCTATTTAGTAACATCCAGTAATTTTAAAAGTACACTGGGATTGGGGTGTCTCATTCTAAATATTATTTTATTCCATTTCTCCTTTAGTAACCTGTGCCGGGAAATATTTCCCAAGAGAGTGCTGGTAACACACTAAATGATTCATTTGGCTCTACAGTTTATATGTGCCTGTGCTGCTTGTGTGTACGTGTGTTTGTGTGAATTCATGTGTTATCCATTACATGAATGTACTAATAGGTGTTTTATATAAACTCTAAGAATCAGTTGTACTGTAATTGCCTTACTAATATTAGTTGGTTCTTTGCATCCTACCTACATTTATCCCATTTTTTAAATTCATTCATTTCAAAGGTTGTTACATAATAAGTAGAATAACATAATAATTCAACATTCTGGATCCTTTCCTTCTCCTCCCTCCCCCAACTCCCTTACTCCCCATTTTTGGTGTTTGTTCCTCTAAAGTTCTCAAATATCAGTTTGTTGATTTAGACACAGCATGCCAAAGGAAAGAGTGACATAAGGTGAGAGGTCATTTTCACCATGCAAGAAAGTGGTAGAAATGATTACATAAAGATGAGGTGTAGAGGTTGTAATAATCTTTTGTGATCTGTTGCAGTATTCGCATGCAAACATACCTTTTGGATTTAAGGAAATAGTGGTTGTCAGAACAAATGTTTAGAAGTGATTAAATTAGTTGCCACTTTGTATTTTGAGAACAAAATGAGGAGTGATACTTAAAATGTGCTTTAGAGTTCCTTTTTTGTCCTTGTTGGTATACCATGTTGTTAACTCTTTGGGTGAATAGACCTATAGTGTGATGTCAAGGATAGAGGTTTGTAGTTATGATAGTAGTTTTGCCTCTTGTCTCACTACCGGATCTGAAGCCTGTGGTATAAATAAGTAGTCATTGATTTCAAGCATCTTATCCAGAACTGTAGATTTTTCAGTTGTTCTATCCATCTACCTCCCTAAAGAATAAATCTTTTGGGAGGTATTTTTAGACTGATTACTTGTGGTTATCACTTTTGTCATGCATTTTGTGACATTCTAGTAATATTGAGTTTATTTAAGAAATTCAAATAATTGCTTAATTTTAAAAAGCGTTAAAAGGTACACTAATCCAATGGATTTAGAATGGCTCTTCGTTTCTTTATCACATAGTAAGTTGCTCAAACAGGTGAAACTGTAAAACATTATTTTAAAAATCATACCTTGTTAGACATGAAAAGAAAGAACATTTTAATGTGCTCTTTAAACATGATAAAGTGAAATATACCAATAAAATGTGAGTTGGATTTTACATTTCCTTTGCTCAAAACTACTATTGAAAAAAGAAAAAAGAAAAAAAAGAAAAGAAAAAACAAACAGACCAGATTTAATGGATGTTACTCAATAGATTCTTCATTGATACAGTTTCCCTGCTAGTAAAATTGGGTACTATTCCTTGGGTAATGATTCTATTATCTGTCTCTCTGTGTCCCCCTTCCCCTTTCCCCCCTAATATTTATCACTCCTTTCCACTCCAAACCCATACATACTTAGCAGCCAGTCACTCCCTATTTTCCGGGACTTATTTCAAAAACAAATCCATCTAATATAAGAATATGCAGACTCAATCTGTGTCTTCACAAAATGATGGGGAGAAGTCAGGCAATTAATTCAAGTTAAAACAAACAAAGGTGGTGGGGGGGGCGGGAAGTAGAGGACCCTTTTGTCTGAAGTATCTAAATCATTTAGACAAGGTGAAGAACGTTTTGATGGCTAATTGATTTTGTCTCTGGCTAACTTATTTTTCCCTTATTCTTATAGCATTAACAATTCCTTCCCCTTTCTCACTCCCCCATTCATTTCCTAGATTCTACAAGCAGTGTTACAATATAAAATATTATATGATCCTGTTCATGCCTAGACATTGTTTCTGATAAAGCTATTATCATTAAAAAGTACAAAAAGTAAGCACTGTTACTGTTTATTTTATTCAGAGAAAGGGAGAGAGAGGGAGAAATGGATGGTGGATTCTTGGTATTTACTCTGTTCTCTAGAGCAAGCCAATGCTTAGGTCACTCTTCCTATTTGACATTCAGCATTTTGATGGATTGGTGTTGGCTTCACAGTGTCATCTATCAGGTGTGTTCTAAGGATGGTTATTTTACCAGGTAAACCACAAAAGACACCCATAATGCTATAAGAAAATTCATACATGTGATATACAGAAGTCGTTTGAACTATGAATCTATCAATATAGCCAAAGGAGTATTATTATTAACTATTTTCTGCGAACAACTTGTATAGGCAATTTTAATATGGATCACAAATTTTCAATCTTGATGTGAACTAAAGTATAAACTCAATCCTTTTTTTCCACCCTCATGAGAGGAAATAAACTAGTTGCTTATGAGTACTACCTTTCTTCTTTACCTAAGTACCAAAAAATCCTTTTATTTTTTTTTCTAAGGGTTATTCTACAGAGGGTTGGCTAGGTGGCAGGACAGACTTTTTGTTGTCTTCATTCTAACTATGTGATAGGTTTTCCCTCAGAGTAAGATTTTTATACTGTATTTTAACTTCTGAAAAGGAATCTAATAGTATGTTGACTGACTTTCCCCTGTTCTTAAGCCCCCATTGCCTACTCCCAGTTTTGTTTTAAAACCTTCTTCATCTGTCAAGTGCTATTCAGCCAATACCTTTTTATCAGATGAAATAAGAAAAGCCAAATACTTAAATTCCACATATTTTGTTGTTATTGTTGTTGTTGTTGTTTTAAGATGCCTTTAAAATGGGCCATGCCACCATCAATATCTTAAGATTGGTAATTTTTTCCATTTAATGATGATACATGTGGTTTGTTTTAAATAGTGAAGTGGTTTGTACAAAGGGTAATTTCTCTTAAATGAAGTCATTGCTCATAGTGGACATCCTCAGATCGAAAGCAATTGAACTGAAACCTCCGTATCAACCTTCTCTGTCTTTAATTAGAAAGTAGTTCACAGCATAGATAGTGATCTGAGCTACCGGCTTTCATACTCAAGATAAAGCAAGGGAAAATAGCCCCATGCACAAGCCAGAGTTATAAATTTAGGAAACATTAGATAGGCCATAACCATTATGGTCATGAAGAAAAGTTCAATTCTCATTCAAGTTACTTACCTTGTGCTACTCAATCTGATGATTTATCTTTTTTTTTTTTAATCATGTTCTTTCTTCATGGCTTAATTCAATGTTGATTTATTAGATTGGGCTGTGGATTGGAGTGGTCAATGGTGTCAATAATGTAGAAAAGAATTAGGACAGATTATCTTCATGTCTAAATTGTTTAAAGAATTAAAACGGCTTGGATGAGTACATTTCTAGGCACTGATTGCTGATTGATAAAGAGCCAGTATCACTGTCCTAAAATGGAGCCCCCTTTTTCATAAAGTCTTGACCACATGAGAAACCCTCTTCTTTTTGTATTTCCTAATTTAGGTAAAGGACCATTATCTGAGTGTGTTGGTATGTAAACACTGGCCTTGCTTTCAAAAGTGTGCCTCCATTTCTGATCCAGGAATGGATCCTGTAGTTTACTACAGCACATAGAAAGTTGTTTCTTTCCCATTGTATGTATTGCTAACTACCCCTGCTATAAAATTATTTAATCTGAATTTGGTTCATGAAAATTCTAAGCATCTGTTAGCTTACCAA